CTGTCTGAAAATTGAGACTAAGAAGGTGGGAGTTTTTACAAGCGGTAGTCCAGGATGTTAAATTCTGCCCTCAAGAGAAAGCGAGAGAGAGATGCTCTTTCACTGTTTCCAATTTCTGCTGTTGAAGTTAGCGAATCCATATTTACGTGTTTCTTTTTCTAATTCCTTCTAGCTAAAAATATTGGGTGTCAAAGTTTAGAAAATTCCGTATGAGAAGCTTTTTCTTCAGCATAACGTTCATTTGTAGAAATCCTCTCCAATCTCACTGTATGCCATTTCTGATGTCATATCATGCATTCACACGTCTCACATCCTATTTGTTCGTCGAAACTGAGAATTTTGTTGTTTTGCACACAATATATGAACTCAAATCCTTGCAATTTTTAAGAGTTCGCTTTGCAATGAGTTCTGCTGAGGTTGGTCCCAATGAATCAGGACCCTCCGCTGTAGCTGAACCTGCTATCGCACCTACAACTGACCAACAAGCGACAGTTTCCGAAGTCGCTAAGCCATCGGATGTCGAACAGCAGCCAAGCATCATCATTCCCTCGGAAAAAGAAGTTCAAACAAAAGAAAAAATAGCCGAGCCGCAAGTGTCCCCAGCTCCAGATTCATTCCGTACTAGAGCGTCATCAGAAGCAGCTTCTTCAATGAGGTAAGCTGCAGTATCCTTTTCTTTGATCAATAATAAGTAAGAAACGAATTTAGTGATCAAGATGACAGTTCGGAGAAACGAAGACGGCGTTCTACTCGAGATATAAAGAGGCCAAAGTTTGATGATGAGCTTGTTGATAGTGGAGTGGCAAAGCTGTTGTCGCCAAGGGTGAGTATGTTGAAGTGAGATGCATTTAGTAGTTATTGTCAATTTAAGTTGTTGGGTTGCTGTATGCTGTATAACCTGGTTGTAGTTCCTTAGAGAATTCTAGTTTGTTTGAGATGCACAGCTGAAATTTTAATCGAGTAAATCCTTTCCGCTGTGATCAACACTTTTTCTTGCTCTTATTTTCTTTGAAAAGGAACATGCCATTTGATGTTGGGTTGTTAGTAAGTAAGGTTTGTCAAGCCCTTTAAGGAAAAAATACGTTGGGTTTTTGGTAGGTAAGGTTTTTCAAGCCCTTCAAGAAGGAAAAGTGCGTTGGGTTGTTAGTAAGTAAGGTTTCTCAACCCCTTTAAGAAGGGAGTTTACTTTAAGAGGCGGGGAGCCTAAACAGAGCGAATCAATTTTTCTTAAAGCTGCTATCAGAGTAGATAATAAATCTGAGCATAGTGCTTGAGTTGTGAATACTTTTGGAAGGTTTGGGCTTTTATAAGCACG